CCCCGCCCCGGGCAGCACCCGCCTCCGCCTTGGAGAATGGCACTTTCCCAGGGTGACCTGGCCACAAAGAGGGTCTGAGACCCGAGACAGCAGGAGGTGGCCTCGCCCTGGGGTCGCCTGCATCCCGAGAGAGATAAGTGTGGCTGCTTAGCTCCCAGTTTCTTGGAGTCGGCCAAGCTCCCCGACGAAGGTCCGGAAAGTTCACCTTCGGCATAACTGAGTCAGCCTGCTTCTCACTCCTTAGCACTCACAGGGGAGAAGCTGCCCAGCCCGACAAGACCGAGGAGGGAGGCCCACCCGGCAGGGAATTCAGGGTGATGGACTGACTGACGCCAGGAAAGGGTCCGCGCCAGCAGGACCCGGCACCGAGGGTTTGACTGCAGCTGTCTCCAGGTCCACACTCAGGCATGGCGTGGAGAGGAGACAGCGCCCTGCCCCAGGCTGCCCCACGCACATCACAGAGCCGCCCACCCTCCTGGCCAATAGCCACACGCATCCCTTCCCTCCGACTTTATTTCAGAAAGGCCCTGTCCACGCCATGCCCCTTGTCTAACAGAGGACACCATCGAGGGGGGTTCAAGTTAATCAAGGAATCCCTCCATGTGCTAAAGTCGGGTCACGCTGTCAGATGCAGCCCAGATCGTGACACAGATGCCATGAGGTCACGGGTGTGGATGGGGCCTCGCCAGCACCATAGGGAAGGGGAAAGCCGTGCCTTCCTGGAAGGCCCAGGTCCCTCCTCAGAAGGCCAGAGGCTCCCGAGAGCCTTGGCGTTCTCACACACGGGCTTTCTGCCATCAGTGCCAGGTCAGCTGGCATCAACGGGTCAAGTGCAGGCAGGGAGAATGCGTCCCCACAGACCCATCGTGACTATGGACAGCATCTGGAAGCCTCTGGCTGCAGCCCTAATGGCTGTTCCCGCCCCATTCACACCACACACATGCACACAGTCTCCCAACGATGACACTTAACACAGCACACCCAAGACTGCCAGGCCCACATAGTGCAGAATGTTCATTCTTTTTAAATTTTGTTTTCTGTAGAGTTGGGGTCTTGCTCTGTTGTCCAGACTGGTCTTGAACTCCTGGCCTCAAGCCGTCCTCCCACCTCAGCCTCCCAAAGTGCTGGCATTACAGGTGTCAGGCCCCGCACCCAGCAGAATGTTCATTCTTTAACTGTGTGGCAAAGCCAAGATATCCCACCATTCTGATTTTTTTAAAAAAAGGAAACCAGTGTCCACAAACCACTAATTTATGTTATTACATTTTCCCTGCAGAAGATGGCAAAGCCGGAGATGGGGGAGTCACATTTCAGCCACTGGCACCTCCCTAAGGACAGACCCTTCCCCTCCTACCAACATCCTCAGCTCTGCAGCCCGATCACAGCTAGCCTGGACTGCTGGCATGCCCGTGGGCCGACACCAGGGCCGTGGTCCAGGAGGTAGGAGAGAAGGTCACTGATCTACACCCACGTGGCTGGGCGATGCCCACGGACCTGCCCAAGCTGTCCCCACAAAGCCAGCCTCGGGGCATGGGAAGAGCGTGAGCCTGGGTGTGCCCAACTGCTATGCCCAAGATTCTGCCCTGAGAGGGGCTGCCTGGGACGGGAGGGTCTCCAGCCTCCCAGTCTCCCTGTCTCGGCCAACATGCTCATGCTAATTTTATTTAGGATCTGGAAAATAGAAAGCTGTGGATGTGGTGGCAAGGGGGGTGCAGGGAGGAGGGGTCCTTGGGCATCGACCCAAGGTCACAGGCTCCAGGCTGTGGCCAGAAGTGGAAACACCAGCAGGAGCGCCATCCCCATGAGGGTGGGCCTGCTGTTGTCTGAGTTGCAGAGGTCGCGCTGGCAGCAGCTGTATTCCAGCTGGTTCTCACCCAGGAGAGTGGACAGACGGTTGAAGCTGCAGTCGTCAAGCTTCCAGCACTGGTGGTATACGCGCGAGCCTGTGGGGACACTTGCATGAGGCCAGGCAGCCCTGTCCTGCCTCTGCCCTCCGTCCTGCTCAGAGTCTCTCCTGGGGACAGAGAGACCCAGGCAGAGCATGGCCAGGCAGGCTGCGAGGGCCTCCCAGCGAGCATCTCTTAGCCACCCGGGTCCATCGGCTGTGCAGCGGAGCCCAGAGGCGGCGCCTGGCATGAACACGCGTAAGAGGGGCCTCGGGAAAGGTCTGCTAAGAGTACAGAGCACGCCCCCCACCGGCACATCCGCTTCTAGGGCTGACCCTGTGAAGTCACTGTATGAGAGTTTAGCTGACCACTCATGAACGGTCACCACAGGACTAGCTGCAGGGCAGGAAGCTGGACAGGATGGGCCTCCCGTGCTCAGGCCTCGCCAGCGTCTGGGGCTGGCTGCGTCTGGGGTTTCGGCCACCCTCACGGGCACGCCTCATCGGTGTCTGACCATTTGCTCCTCCCTGATTCAGACAGGAAATTTTGGGACTGGCGAGCTGGAGAAAGCCCTTGGCTCTGACCTCCCTGCCTCCCCCACCAAGGTATGCATTTCATCACCAAGACACAGAGGCAGCCAGGCAGGCCGGCCAGAGCTCCTCCTGGCTCCTCTGATGTGTGTTCAGCACCAGAGTCACTGTGACTGGCCCGCTTGGAACTTGTGCCCTTTGTAGGGTGGAGCCCAAGAAAATAGTCGGTCAAGGGCAGGAGCCAGGTCTTCATGCTCAGATGGGTGGGGCCGGCCGCAGGCCCTTCGGGAGGGAGTGCTGGGCCCTCCACACCGTCCACACAGACAGTGGGTGGGCACGGTCCTCACGGGCGCCAGGTGCTGCCCCGGAACCAGGCGCCTCGCTGGGACGTCCAGCAGCGCTTGATGTTCCTGTCTTCTTGGGCAGGCTGACCCCAAATTTTCATTGCCTACTGAGGGATGGGCCCTCTTTTCCGTGGGTCTTCTGAGCCTGCGGGCCTCCAGGGCCTGAGTCCATCTGGACGCTTGCCACTCCCGAGGTGACACTGGAGAGGCCGTGTGGAGGGGGCGGGGGAGACACCCCAAAAACCGCCAGCCTAGGGTTCACCGTGCACACTGGGACCCTGGAATCGCCTCATGGGCATAGGATGTTCAGGCCGGGAGCACACCATGGAGCAGAGGGCTGGCCTAGGCTCCTTTTCCACAGGGTGTGTGGGGGTGGCCCCTCCTCGCCCAACTGGCTTGGAAGGTACAGAGCATGCAGGACTGTGCCTGTCAGCGCCCTGCTCCCACGAGCACCTTGTTCGGGCCCTGGGTTGTGGGACTGCGGGGGCTTCTCTGGGGACACCCTTCCTGGCCTGCTCACCTGCCTGTCCTCTGAGCTTAGCTGGAGCTCCGAAGGACGCTGCACAGACCAGACACTGCACACAGGAGACAGAGGTCTATGGAAGACCTCTTGGGGCAGCCACACAGGCCCGACACAGGACTTGCTGTGTGTCCCCAGTGCAGGCACACATGGGCGCTCACAGTCTCAGGAGGCCCTGCTGTGAGGCTGTCAGTGTGTTGGGGACAGACACGTTTCCATGTGTAAGCCCCGAGTTGGTGGCTGGACTGCAGTCCATGGCTCAGCCTGAGCCCTGGTTTCCTTATCTGTCACAGGGGGTACAAGACCACCCTGAGAGGCAGGCGAGAAGTGTGCAGCTGAACACGCATGGACAGTGCTCAGGCCGAACAGGCAACGGGCGTGGACCAGTGGTGGCTGCTGGCTGCTGAGGGTTGGAGGTACCCTTTCCTCCTGGCCCAAGACCCCGTGCCGCAAAGGAGCAAGGAGGGGGACGGGGCGGTGCTTACCAGCTTTGGCAAGGAGACACGAGTCAAAGTTGGCAGAGCAGTTGGTGACGGAGGTGCAGGAGGGCACCGGGTTGATGCAGCTGTAGCACTTCAGGCTGTCACCTGGGGGAACAAAGCTGTCAGGATTCGGCAGCATGGACGGCCCATAGCCCTGCTCTGACGGGGCTGCCGGCCACATCCCTGAGTGCCAACGTGGTCCCACCACTCCAGCAGTGCCTCCTGGACCCTGACGCTGGTGCAAAGGAAACATCCACGTTTCAAAATCCAGCCAGCCGCATGCGGTGGCTCACACCATCATCCCAGCCCTTTGGGAAGCAGAGGCAAGAGGATTGCTTGAGCTCAGGGGTTCTAGACCAGCCTGGGCAACGTCGCAAGACCTCATCTCTGCAATAAAACAAAAAATCAGCCGGGCGTGGTGGCACGTGCCTGTGGTTCCAGTTACTTGGAAGGCTCTGGTGGAAGGATCACCTGAGCCCAAAGGTTGAGGTCGAGGTTGCGGTGGCTGTGAGCATGCCTCTGCACTCCAGCCTGGGCAACAGAGTGAGACTCCAAGTCAAAAAAAAAAAAAGAAGGAAAAAACCCAAACAAACCCACTCATCTGTATGATGCAGAAGCTTCCTCCTGTCTCCTGCCAAGAAGAGATAAGCGCACACCATGAAGCCATGTTGGAAGGAAGATATGCAGAGAGTGGGCAGTGTCCCAGGAGCGCGGCCCAGGCAGCGGTGGCCAAGCTCAGGTCAGTCACATTCAGAGGATGGACTTGGCGGTACCCACCGTGGGAAAAGACACTTCCAAAGATGAAACACGGACACACTCATGGCAGGTTGGCACAGACAGACGGATGCCTGCAGCTGATCTGAGGATGGGGAGTGGTCATTCTGCACCCCAATCGAGCAGCACGTGCTTCCCCTCAAAAAGAATTCTATCCCTTTCATTAGGGGACGGGGAGTGTATATTTGTACTCGATTACTACATGGTGAATTTTGTCAACTGAAAACGTGGTAGGGCACGGTGGCTCACGCCTGTAATCCCAGCACTTTGGGAGGCCGAGGCGGGAGGGTCTCTTGAGCCCAGGAGTTGAGACCAGCCTGGGCAACAAGCGAGAGCCCGCCTTTAAAAATAAGAAAATCGGCTGGGCTCGGTGACTCAGCCTGTAATCCTGCGCTTTGGGAGGCTGAGGTTGAGTGGATTGCCTGAGCCTGTGGGTTCTAGACCTGCCTGGGCAACTTGGTGAGACCTCATCTCTACAATAAATCAAAAATTAGCCAGG